GTGGAAGGGCAGACAGGTGTGCTCTCTTTGCCTTATGGCTTTCCACACAGGCGCATGGAAGGGCGGAGAGGTGTGCTCTCTCCGCCTTAGGCTTTCCACTTAAGCATGCAGAAGGGCAGAGAGGTGTGCACTTTCCACGTAGGTGCGTGGAAGAGGCTTTCTGCATAGGCCCGAGGAAAGGCAGAGGGGCCCCAGAACAGAGCCATACCGACAAAAATAATACTGCAAATGGAAATAAACTGTTCCTGACTGAACTGCAGTTTTTGGCACCGCATTGGCTTAATTTTTCTGTCTCAGAGGTTGCCATTTGGGGGAATAGATAACAACTCCACAGGAGTGGGTGGTGATGGTCACAAGTCAAGCAAGAGCAGAATTGGGACAACAGTCTCAGACAGGACTACTTTTCAGCTTAGAGGAAAACAGTGAAACTCAGATCATCAAGTTAACAAAGTGTTACATGGCATGGGCAGCAGCTGTAAGACAAACAAACATCACCTTTGGCAACATTTCCTGATATATGTGTTCTATGTATGGTCATGGTGTTTTCACACAGGCAAGTTAGGATCAAAACACTTTTAACTGTTAGATGGCTACCTATAGATCTGCATGGCTATATGACATACGGTAGCCAAGGTGTGTTGTTTGTTGTTGGGTTGTTGCTGCACAGCTAACTTTGCACAGCTAGCTGGCTGCATAGCTACGTAACTAATCAAAGAAAGTCTGTGTGTTTTCTTAGGCAAACCAGCCTGTAAAATGCTACAGTGTCATCCTAAATGGGTACCTTAATTATACCTCGGGCAGACACAAGTCCAACAATGCACATTGAGCAGTTTGACAAAAGGACAACAAGAGTGAAAGACATTTTGCATACCATCTGTTAATATGGAAAATTACTCAAATTCTGAATCTCTTTATTTGTGTAACATAATATTGATTAAGGCATATGGGGTGCCGTTTGTAAAGTGGCTCACACTGAAATTAACAGCAACATTTTGCCACATTTAGCTTTAAACAACATTTAAAAAAGGTGTGTGAATTTTTTAAAGTCACTATTTACCACATTTACAGCAATATTTGAAATATGTTAAATATAATGTCACAGTTAAATCTAAATATTAAATGTTAAACCTAAATGTTAAATCTAAATCTAAATGTAAAATGTTGAATGTTAAATCTAAATCTAAATGTCAAATCTAAATGTTAAATCTAAATCTAAATGTCAAATCTAAATGTTAAATGATAAACCTCAATGTGTTTGGTGAAACTAAATATTTAGGTCTTGCACAAATTTCCACTCTGCAGGTTCGCCAGCAGGTCGTATTTTACGCAACAGGAAATATGGGCGTTCTCACAGGAGAGTCTGGACATGGAACAATGAGTACTAAATCATTACCTACTCATTCTGATGTCTCACTTTACTTTAGGGTACACAAAAAGGGTAGGTAATGATTAAGTAATAGTTCCTCATTAGTTCCTCTGTAACTATTCCTCTGAAATTTGATTAGGACTTAATGAAGAACTGACCATTAACTAATAGTTAGTTCATCATTCATTCCAAATTTTCGGCTGATTGAGCATGCTGAATCGGCGGCGGAGCTTGTCGGTGAGAGAGACATCACTCTGATTGGCTGTTCAGGTTTTATTTCCTCGCCCCTGTAGCGAGTGAATCTGCCTGTAGTGAAACCGGGTTTAACCGGTGCTTCCTCCTCAGGCTCCACTTCAGTCAGCTGCCCGACAGATCCGCTGCTTCTTCCCACTTTAACTTGAATAACAAACCGAAGCTAGGGAGCGACTAGCAGAGCATTAGCCGCAGCATGACCGGAGGGAAGCACAATCAGTTAGCCTCCGCTAGCTTCCCAGCTAGCCCCAGCTCTCTGTTTGGATCCAACCGGAGCACTGAGCCCTGGTTTGTTATTCAGGTTAAAGTGGGAAGAAGCAGCGGGCTTGTCGGGCAGCTGAGTGAAGTGGAGCCTGCGGAGGAAACACCCGGACCGTCTGGATGTAATAGTCCGTGGAGGTGCTGCGGTGCACGGCTGCACAGATAGGAAACCCCTTGGCTGACAGGATGTATCGCTCTGTCACTCTGCGCTACTTTTTTTTTTTTTTAGCTTTTTTTTTGTTTATTGAAAGATAGATACAAACAAACAAGGCACAGAATAGACATACAAAACCACATATTTTTGCCTTGGGTTGAGCAAGTTCAATATGAAATGCAAAACATAGGCCTACATCATGAACCTAATTATAATACAAACATAGTGCAAAATAAAATAAAAAAAACAAACAAACAAAAACAATAAAATAAAAATAAATCACAGGGGCCATCTCATATTAACTTAAATGTTTCTAGTAAAGAAGATAATTTAAGGGCTTTCTTTCCTTTAACAAGACTCAGGGACTTACTCAAGAGTTTTAACTCATTCCTCCGATGAGTCGACCACGGTTTGGTCTTAAAATATCTGCATTTGTTAGTGAAGTACTTTCCCAGTAACACCAAAGTGTTGAGGACAAAGTCCACATTCTTATTTTCGCCAAAAACACCAAATATAATTGTCTTCACTGTTAAAAGTAACTAAATTTCCTTGGACTGTAGCCAGCTCTGCATCTCGCAATGAAAGAAACTTTCAATTTCTCTTTCACAAAAAACAAAATTATTCAACTCAAAGTTAAACCTTAATCTTAAAAATTCGTTCGTTGGGTAAATTTCATTTAAAATTTTGAAGTTGACCTATTTACTTTAGGTGGAAGTGGAAATGAAATATAATTTTTTCTTATTTTATTAATCTTTTCCACTTAAAATTCCTTGAGAATATACACACTCCGTGCTACTATGTTGATCTCATACATTCATCGGACTTCCGGTTTCCCCTTTTGCATTATTTCCTTTCACGCAGGCACAGAACGTGCTACTTTGCCGTTGGATGTAGTCTTCTTTTTTTTTTTTCCATAACTTTATTTAAGACAGGAAGTTTACAGAATGCAGATCTTCAACATTACACATATATGTCATATATCACATATGTCAGGGGGGGATAAGAGTTTACAAGAAAATATTAAAATGATCACAAATATTAATGGTTTTGATTGCCTTTTGATTAAGGGAAAATTTAATGGAATCAATGTAACTAAAGCAACAAAAGAAGGTTTTCTATGTGTAAACTTACATTTGTGAATGTGAAAAATTGCCAAAAGTAAGATGAGATTAATAATAAATCTTTCATTGGGTTTTGCCGTATTTCTGTTAAAGTCAAAATGCCCAAACAGCACATCCCTCCAAAACAGCAAACACAAATTCTTTTTCAGTATTGTTCACAATAAAATTACAAATATCACTCCACAGTCTTTTGACAATGGGGCAGTGCCAAAATAAATGAGTAACAGTTTCAGTTGTCGGATGTAGTCTTTGTAGTGTGTTCAAATGCAATTGACACAGGGCGACGTAAGGTGACGTAGATGACGCAACAGTTGGCTTTCGTTGCCGCTAGTTCTTTGATGTCGGTTTGGTGCGTCAGCACCTTGTACAGAATAACATGGATGATCATATTAATGTGTATGTGGTCTGAAAAGAATGAATAAAACCCTTCTCAAGAATCCTGCTGTCTGTGATTTTTTTTAAGGAACTAATTGTAAAGATGATGATGAAGTAATGAAAGACTACTCATTATGTGTCACTTTACTTTAGGACATAAAAAGGTTAACTAATGACAGGTTATTGAGTAATGATTCTGTACCAATGAAGTAACTAGTTCACTAATCATTAAGTCGTGATTAACTGCTCTATGAAATTTGATCATGAGTTAATGAAAAACTGACCATTAACTAATAGGTAGTTCATCATTAGTTCCTCAGTAACTACTCTAATTTTGTGTATCTTAGTTCCTCAGTAACTATTCCTCTGAAATTTCATCATGAGTTACTGAGGAACTGACCATTAACTAATAGTTAGTTCCTCAGTAACTACTACTCTGAAATTTGATCAGGGGTTACTGAAGAAGCCCATTAACTAATAATTAGTTCCTCATTAGTTCCTCAGTAACTTCTCCTCTGAAATTTGATCATGAATTTCTGAGGAACTGACCATTAACTAATAGTTAGTTCATCATTCGTTCCTCATTAGTTCTTCAGTAACTACTCTAATTTTATGTACCTTAGTTCCTCAGTAACTACTCATTTGTTCCTCATTAGTTCCTCATTAGTTTCTCATTAGTTCCTCATTCGTTCCTCAGTAACTACTCTAATTTTGTGTAGCTTAGTTCTTCAGTAACTACTCATTAGTTCCTCAGTAACTACTCCTCTGAAATTTGATCATGAGTTACTGAGGAACTGACCATTAACTAATAGTTAGTTCGTCATTAGTTCCTCATTAGTTCCTCAGTAACTACTCTAATTTTATGTACCTTAGTTCCTCAGTAACTACTCATCAGTTCATCATTCGTTCCTCATTTGTTCCTCAGTAACTACTCTAATTTTGTGTAGCTGAGTTCCTCAGTAACTACTCATTTGTTCCTCATTAGTTCCTCATTCGTTTCTCATTAGGTCATCAGTAACTACTCTAATTTTGTGTACCTTAGTTCCTCAGTAACTACTCATTTGTTCGTCATTAGTTCCTCATTCGTTTCTCATTAGGTCATCAGTAACTACTCTAATTTTGTGTACCTGTTAGACAGATCTGTAATATAAACAGTTATTTACCACATATCAGCCAGTATAATACTGTAAATCCCCTTTGTAGTAAATTACTGTAATTTGCATTGCATCATGGGAAGTTTTAGTGGGAACATCCACAATATACAGTACTGTACTATGTTTTTTAAAAATGATGTATGATACTGTATTTTTTTAACGGCTGCCTTTAGCGCGTTTTACCGCGTTTTACCAGACCCCTTCATTTTTTCGTTGTGTGTGGAACCAACATATACCAAGGGAGCCAGTTCAGTGATGGACACTGTTTGAGAAGACCCCCCCATGGATCCGTGAGATGCGTGGTGAGACCATCAACGATGCAAGCAGGTAAGAAGGAGAAGCATAAAAGGGAAATGGTTAGCGTTGTTATGTGATAAATATTCCCTGCATTAACTGATTAAATATTAGTCCGAGTAACGTTAGTCTGTCGTAATCTCAGGTTGAGGCTAAGGCTAACAACGTTAGCTAATTTAAACTGTGACAGAAACGTAACGTTAGCTAACGTTACTGCTGATTAAGACTGTTGGTTAAGTGAGTTTACATGCGCACTAATACAACGATTATTATCGGAAAACTGGCATTTTTGGATTATTTGAGTTGTCATGTAAATGGCATAAAACGGAAATATTTAAGGGATTAAGGCGGTTGAAGTTTTCTGAGATAACGGTTTAACACACCTAGCTTTTTAAACAATCCGTTCTCGTAGTGCATACAGAGCTTTAACGTTATCCGGTAATTTTCTTTCTATTTCTACATCGTCATGGTTCCGACGGCATACAGACTGTGTGAGTAAATCTCGGGTTACCGTAGCCACAAAGCTGGAGCAGGGTGACAGTGTAGCTCCGTGTACAGTACTATAGCCACTGGCATTTTTAAAGGCACCATGGACGCACTGTCCTCTCCCCGGAGCCAGGCTTATGACCACCCACATTAATTCACACAGCACTACAAACGATCGCCGCGACGTAACGTTACTGAAGTTGTTATGCCATTCATGATCACAGAACTTTTTCAACACATCTCTGTCTCACCATTCCTTGCTCAGGACACGCATACTAAAGAAGCCACGTATGAGAGCTTTTCGACTTCTCCTTTTACCACCGGAGTTGGCGGTCAAGTTAGTACTGCCCGTGCAGCTATTTTTCATGGGGTTCAACAGATGTGTATAAATTCATATCACATAGGCCAATAACAAATAAAAACAGAGATAGTGGAGTAAAAATTATCAAAAAATGTTTAGAATTTAACGTTTCAGTGACTAAATAAGTTAAGTTACAGTGCACACTGTCCAACAGAGGCAGTTCACAGGTGCATTTCTTTGCCCCTTCACAGTAACATTACACTATTTTAATGTGTTGACAACATGTATAGCTGTAAGTTTTGTAACCACAAGACTGCCGATTTTAAAACTTTTTGTGCCCATGCAAAAAGTCATAGAAACTTGGCTAACTACAGGTTTTCATGTGGCATTGATGTGTGTCCTGGGAATTTCAGGACATTTTCTGCATTAAAGTCTCACATGCATAGAAATCATATGCCTGATGTGTCACAAAAACAAAGCAGGTGTCAGCATAGTGGTGACCTCAAATGCAGTGTTCAAGGATGTGATTATGTGGCTGATCATTTTTTCTTGCTGTGTGTTCATTTAAGATTACACATACGGAATGGCAGAAAAGTTAATTGTCCTTTTGAAGGATGCTCAAAGTATTTTAGAGTGAGGACATCATTTGCCACACACATTTCACGAAAACATAAGCAGTCGTTTGTAGCCCAGCCACCACCCAGATACCCAGATACCCAAATCCAAGTTGAAGACAACCAAGTTCAAGACGATCAAGACGAGATGACAGATGCATCTCTTGATGATAACAACCCTGACATGTATCTAAAGAATGTAGCATTGTTTTATTTAAAACTGCAGGCCAAACTGCTTTTACCAGCCACAACAGTGCAGTGCATTGTTGAAGAATTTCAGGAGGCCCATAGCAGTGGAATGAAGCATGTGCTTAAAAAGGTAGAGGAGAGACTGAAAGGGTTAAACATCACTAATGATGAAATCCAGAAAATAGTTACAGAACTTGAACAAGAGGATCTGTTAACTATTTACAGTAAAGGTATTTTGAGATCAGACAGAACCAGGAAAACATATTTCAAAGAAAAATTTGAATATGTTGCACCCGTTCAGATGTACCTTGGAACAGACAAGACTGGTGAAGAGCGCTTTTGTCAGTATGTACCCGTAAAGGATACACTTGCTGCCTTGTTTAAGCAGTCCAATGTGAAAGACCAGTATACACAGTCTAAATTACATGTGCACAGTGATATGGTTCTAAATGATGTTAATGATGGCAAATACTTCAAACAAAATGCTCTTTTACAAGGATCATCACATTCTCTGTCAGTCATTCTGTACATGGATGCCTTTGAGGTGGTTAACCCCCTAGGCTCTGGCAAGAGAAAACACAAAATCATGGCCATGTACATGACACTTGGGGAAATATTACCACATAATCGTTCCACTGTTGACCCAGCGCAGCTTGTTTTGCTTTGCAGAGAGGAAGATTTTAAGTCTTTTGGTCAGGACAAAGTATTTTCCCGCCTTATTGCTGATCTAAAAGACTTGGAGGATTCAGGTTTTCAGTTGGAAGACAGGAGCCAACTTATGGCATCACTGATTGCCATATGTGGTGACAACCTTGGTTCACATGGTGTTGGTGGATTCACAGAAAATTTTAGCTCGAGCAAACACTTTTGCAGGTACTGCCTGATTGACAGAGAGACATTTGTCAGTTCACCATTGGTACTTGGCCCACAAAGAACATCAGCAAATTATAATGACAGTGTTCAACAACTGACCCCAGAACACAACATCAAAGATGGAATCAAATTTGATTCATGTTTCAACTCTCTGAAGTCTTTTCATGTCTGCTCTGGCCTTCCTCCGTGTCTTGGGCATGATCTTTTTGAGGGAGTAGTGGCGAATGATTTGGCTCTCTATATTGAACATTTGGAAAAAGTTGAAAAACAATTCACCTATGACCAGATAAATTGGGCCATCTCACAGACAAAACTCCTGGGCAGTGACTCACACAACAAACCATGTGAGATAAAGGAAAAGGCTAAAAAACTCAGTGGTTCTGCCACACAAAATTGATGTCTGTTACGACTCTTACCACTTTATGTCAGTCAGTGGATCAAAAACCCTATTGACAGTGAGGCCTGGCAATTGTGCCTGAAACTAAGGGAAATTGCGGAGTTGATTTGTGCTCCAAAAATTCATCAGAATGAGGTGGCATATCTGAAAGTTTTGCTAGAGGAATATGTGTATTTACGGAAAAGCATGTTTCCTGACTCCCCTCTCAAACCAAAGCATCAGTACATTTTGCATTATCCTGACCTTATCCTAAAATTTGGGCCACTAATACGCTTGTGGACCCTGAGGTTTGAGAGCAAGCACTGCTACTTTAAGGACTGTGCCAGAAAGCTTCACAATTTTATTCACTTAAGTAAAACACTGGCTGAAAGACACCAGCTTCTTCAGTCATACTTATGGCAAGGTCAGTTATTCCCAGCTCCCATTCAGATTGCAGGTGAAGCAAATGAAATTGATGAACAGTCATACAACAGGGATATACAGACGGTGTTAAGCACAGCTGATATTGACAGACATAAAACCTCAGAGGTTTCAGCAGTGACTTACAAAGGGACCAAGTACACCAAAGGCCTTGTTGTTGTTCTAGAGAACACTGGGGAAACACTGATTTTTGGGAAAATATGTCTGATACTTGCTGATGATAAAAGTGTGTGCTTTGTTGTTTTGGTGCATCACTCAGTTCTGTTAATTGATCTTGGTGTCTACTACTTGTTGTCAGATAATAAATATGCATATATTAATGCAGATAGCCTGCAGGACTATTATCCACTGCCGGTGTACAACATCTTGGACCTCCCTGCTGTTTCCTTGCATCACTCAGTGTGTTCTTCCTTTTAGGTATGGAGGCTGAATGCATTCAGGAACTTTGTAAAGTGATACCAGAATTGGAAAGTGAGAATTTCTTGGCCCTTGTTGAACATCTATCATCTGAACTTGGACTAACAAAGAAAGCGGACCTTGCCTTACTTGAGCCAGATGATTTGCAGCAGCATTTAAAGCCAATTCTACGCCGCAGACTTATCCAGGCCTTCAGGCCAGTAGGTGAGGGGAAATAAATCTAAGAGAATGTAAAATGGTGAAAAAACTGTATGAGTCTAGATAGAGCTTTTTCTGATACTTCTATGGTTTGAGCTAATTAATAAATTGATTTTAACTACTATTAATGTTGTCTCTAAAGTTAAAATGGATAACAATAAGCAAGCATAACAATAGTTCAGCAGTTCTACTGATGCAGATGTTGTATTGTTTAAGAAAGAGGCAGATTTTAAGGTTCACTATAAAGCAATTTTAAGTTCTCTTTTATGTAAACTGTAAATACTGTGAATAACCGAAACTAATCCGTTAACATATTTCTTCATTTGTGCTGAATGGAGCAGTGGACACTGATCAGCCCATTATTCTCAGCACCATACCGGATGAACAAACGGCACTCTTCCCATCCTTGGACACACAACTGACACCTACACCTATACCTCCTTGTACCCAATCCCACTTCTCAAGATTTCCATCAACAAGACCACAAAACGCATGGATCAACCAGTTTGAGATCCCATGGAACAAGATGCCTGCCTCACTCTTGAAGGCAACATTAAGAGGGCAGAGGGCTAGACCTGAGGACAGAAGAGCCTGGAAGAGAACCATGGTGAGTGCCATGCAGGAACACTGTCCAAATCCAAACAAGGCTGCCTGTGATGAAATCGCAAAAATGATCGTGTCAAAATATCCTTCCACCTTTGTTGACATGACTGAGGAAGATGAACAGCTAGGAGTAGGGTATTACTCACTTGCAAAACAACTTAAGACTAGAGTTGAACACGCGAATCGCAATAATGTGAGTGAGAAAATACGAAGACCGAGGATAATGTCACAAACCAGTGATGATGGTAGCACCAAAACAGTGCGGTGTAAAGTTGACAGCTACGGCTGCATTAACTGGCAGCCAAAATGTGTCCCAGAAGGAGAGACTTCTGAGTCTTTAGAAGACAGAAGAAAAGATATAATGGCCATTTTCCAGTCTGCTGGCCCCAGAGCTGTGGACAGGCCAGGTGTTGACGAGTCAATGAGGTTGACATACATCTATCAGCGTCACATGCTAAACTCCTGTCCTCCTCTGAGTATTAGTGTGATTGAAGAACACTGGCCTTTCCTCTTTACAAAAAGAGGACTCTGTGACCATTTCAAAGCACTCACAGGTATTGATATCTGTGATCGAGTGGGGGAGGCTCTTCAATCCAAGGGGACGAGGATCATCAACTTCTTCCAAAGACAGACCCAGAACAGAGCCATTCAGCGTCTTCTACGAGACATTGAGAGCAACACAACAGCCATGCAGCAGAGCCGGACCGGCATAGCTGCAGTGCTTCTTCTGATGAAGCACTTCCAGGAGCAAGAGGGCTCCATCTTTCTTTTGGCAGATGTAAGTATATTGTAATGAATTACATTAAATGGCATCATATATATAGTGGGCCATGTGGTTCAATTGAGACTTATGGACCCCACTGTATTGTTGTTTTTAAGATGTGTTTTAAACCAGTTGTAATCCCAAGCTTTTTTGTGTGTTTTAAAGGCAACTGCGACAAAGCGATCGATTGAGACAGACATGACACTCCCATCCACACCAAGATTGATTATGCTTGGTAAGAGAAGACTTCCTTATGATTTTGAGGAAGTTTAGCATGTCCTGTATGCCTTGTCAAGATGTGCAATGTGCCTTTTTTTGTCTTCAAGGGAACACATTTCTCTCGGCCACAAAATGGATGGTGAGCATCGAAGGGAGGGTGGCCTATGTTTTAGAGGAGCACCTGGGGTTTGCAGATGCCCTGTCAGTGTTTTTTGGATGCTTCTATGTTTTCAACATAGAATATCAGGAGCCTGCCTGTGCAACATTGGAACTCATACAACGGTAAGTGCTTTTCTCTTCTTTGCCACATGTTGCTGTTGATTCAAAGTTGATCTTTTTTTCATCTTTTCTGAGCCATGTAAATGTATCTTAATGTGTACCTTCAATGTTTTGTTTTTTCCCATCAATCTTCTCTGACCTTAAGATTCTTCATGAGGATCAATCAGGAGGAAGGCACAAAATGCACTGCAAAAACTGGAGTGAGTTGCAAGACAGGAGCAGTGGTGAAGAGCAAGGCGGAAGCCATCAATAGTCGAGTGGCCTCCTTCCTTCACCAGCTAACAGAGTTTGCGTGGAAGAACTTGGACTAGGTGAATTACCTTAGACTCTGAGTGGAAAGCTCTCTCCTTCCTGCAGCCTCTGCATGTTGCAGAGACATCTTCACAGAGCAGATGGGACAATGTGACAAGCAATGAGAAGAGCGCTCACTCTGTACCTATGTCTGGAGACCAGAATGCCTCAAAAAATAGTGAGTTGACAATAAAAATGAATGAAAAATACTCTACTTGAAGAATCACATTCATCTGAGGGTTCTCTATATACACAGTTAACAATGAGTTAAAAGCATATGCTAATGTCTTAATATGTCATCTAAAAGATCCCTCCATTACACAGATTGTAATGTCAAGTTTATGTTATTATTGTTTGAGAGGGGAGTTGATGCACTTGTATAATTTTGTTTTATTGTGTGCACTGAAAGGTGAATATGTTCATATTTCAGTTTAGGACTTATGTCCTACTGTCTTGGCTTGGCAGTGAGCCATCATGAAGTTTACTTATCTGGTTTTAAATATTAATGTTTTAAATGAAATGGATGTGAATGTTTTACATGTTTTTGCACATTCAGATGTTTTAAATAAAGAATTTATATTTTAAATAATTTCAGCAGTATGTTCTTTTTTTAAAAAAATTTAAAAAATAGGATTATAGTAGTGTACTATTAAATTAGTTCATTTACAGTAACAGACTGTATTACATAATTACAGTAACACCAAGTTACTGTATAAGTGAAATACAGTAATAGTACCCTCTGAAATGTCTAACAGTGTAATTAGTTCCTCAGTAACTACTCATTAGTTCCTCATTAGTTCCTCATTAGTTTCTCAGTAACTACTCTAATTTTGTGTCCATTATTGTAAAGTGTTACCAGAGTGGCGTTCAGCTCCCGCACCCACAGACCCAGGTCTGTGNTGAAAAATGGGAGCAAAAACAAAAGTGTTGCGTTTATATTTTTGTTCAGTGTATGTTCTCCAGCTTCCCCCTCCTTCTCCTGGCTCGCACAGCGCGTTACAAACGCTACACATACACTACACCTGCGTGTCTACGCATGCACGTCCAATTAGCAGAGTTAGCATAGCGATGCTACGTGTCACACGTCCGTAATACAACGCATTGTTGCTTCAAGAGTTGACACTTTTGACCCCTGTGATACATGACATGTCTACACACGCACGTCTGATTAGCAGAGTTAGCATAGCGATGCTACGTGTCACACGTCCGTAACATGACGCGTTGTTGCTTCAACAGCTGACACTTTTGACCCCTCTGATTACATGACATGTCTACGCACGCAAGTCTGATTAGCACAGCAAGCTAGTTAGCAATAATCGTTAGCAATCGTTACACGTGATGCTATGTGTCACACATCCGTAACACGACGCATTGTTGCTTCAGCAGCTGACACTTTTGACCCCTGTGATTACATGACGTGTCTACGCAAGCACGTCTAATAACCACACGTCTAGGCATATGCAGGCATTGCACGTGCATTGCATGTGTAACAAGTACACGGTGAATGCACGCACAGTGCACACGAAGCAAGTACACGGTGATGGTTGCACACGCAATTTACACATATCAAGTACGCAGTGAATGCAGTGTGTGTGTGTTCACTGATACGTTTGACCCCTCATACATACACACACACACACACACACACACACACGTATGTATCAGATACCTATTTAAAACAAAACCTCAACAATTTCAAATCCAGGGTGCCCTATTTAAACTGCTCTGGCCTGCCTACTGTCGCTGCTTCCTCTGCAAGCTGCTTTGCAACCCACCTCCACCTCCTCCTTTTCATGCTGTATCTGACTTATCAATGTCATTCTGTTTGTCATTGATGCTGGCTCTGTTCTGTTCCCAGGGGTCTTTGCTGCTGCTCTCCCTGCCTCAGGCTTTCCTCATTGGCACGTGGAAGGGCAGACAGGTGTGCTCTCTTTGCCTTATGGCTTTCCACACAGGCGCATGGAAGGGCGGAGAGGTGTGCTCTCTCCGCCTTAGGCTTTCCACTTAAGCATGCAGAAGGGCAGAGAGGTGTGCACTTTCCACGTAGGTGCGTGGAAGAGGCTTTCTGCATAGGCCCGAGGAAAGGCAGAGGGGCCCCAGAACAGAGCCATACCGACAAAAATAATACTGCAAATGGAAATAAACTGTTCCTGACTGAACTGCAGTTTTTGGCACCGCATTGGCTTAATTTTTCTGTCTCAGAGGTTGCCATTTGGGGGAATAGATAACAACTCCACAGGAGTGGGTGGTGATGGTCACAAGTCAAGCAAGAGCAGAATTGGGACAACAGTCTCAGACAGGACTACTTTTCAGCTTAGAGGAAAACAGTGAAACTCAGATCATCAAGTTAACAAAGTGTTACATGGCATGGGCAGCAGCTGTAAGACAAACAAACATCACCTTTGGCAACATTTCCTGATATATGTGTTCTATGTATGGTCATGGTGTTTTCACACAGGCAAGTTAGGATCAAAACACTTTTAACTGTTAGATGGCTACCTATAGATCTGCATGGCTATATGACATACGGTAGCCAAGGTGTGTTGTTTGTTGTTGGGTTGTTGCTGCACAGCTAACTTTGCACAGCTAGCTGGCTGCATAGCTACGTAACTAATCAAAGAAAGTCTGTGTGTTTTCTTAGGCAAACCAGCCTGTAAAATGCTACAGTGTCATCCTAAATGGGTACCTTAATTATACCTCGGGCAGACACAAGTCCAACAATGCACATTGAGCAGTTTGACAAAAGGACAACAAGAGTGAAAGACATTTTGCATACCATCTGTTAATATGGAAAATTACTCAAATTCTGAATCTCTTTATTTGTGTAACATAATATTGATTAAGGCATATGGGGTGCCGTTTGTAAAGTGGCTCACACTGAAATTAACAGCAACATTTTGCCACATTTAGCTTTAAACAACATTTAAAAAAGGTGTGTGAATTTTTTAAAGTCACTATTTACCACATTTACAGCAATATTTGAAATATGTTAAATATAATGTCACAGTTAAATCTAAATATTAAATGTTAAACCTAAATGTTAAATCTAAATCTAAATGTAAAATGTTGAATGTTAAATCTAAATCTAAATGTCAAATCTAAATGTTAAATCTAAATCTAAATGTCAAATCTAAATGTTAAATGATAAACCTCAATGTGTTTGGTGAAACTAAATATTTAGGTCTTGCACAAATTTCCACTCTGCAGGTTCGCCAGCAGGTCGTATTTTACGCAACAGGAAATATGGGCGTTCTCACAGGAGAGTCTGGACATGGAACAATGAGTACTAAATCATTACCTACTCATTCTGATGTCTCACTTTACTTTAGGGTACACAAAAAGGGTAGGTAATGATTAAGTAATAGTTCCTCATTAGTTCCTCTGTAACTATTCCTCTGAAATTTGATTAGGACTTAATGAAGAACTGACCATTAACTAATAGTTAGTTCATCATTCATTCCAAATTTTCGGCTGATTGAGCATGCTGAATCGGCGGCGGAGCTTGTCGGTGAGAGAGACATCACTCTGATTGGCTGTTCAGGTTTTATTTCCTCGCCCCTGTAGCGAGTGAATCTGCCTGTAGTGAAACCGGGTTTAACCGGTGCTTCCTCCTCAGGCTCCACTTCAGTCAGCTGCCCGACAGATCCGCTGCTTCTTCCCACTTTAACTTGAATAACAAACCGAAGCTAGGGAGCGACTAGCAGAGCATTAGCCGCAGCATGACCGGAGGGAAGCACAATCAGTTAGCCTCCGCTAGCTTCCCAGCTAGCCCCAGCTCTCTGTTTGGATCCAACCGGAGCACTGAGCCCTGGTTTGTTATTCAGGTTAAAGTGGGAAGAAGCAGCGGGCTTGTCGGGCAGCTGAGTGAAGTGGAGCCTGCGGAGGAAACACCCGGACCGTCTGGATGTAATAGTCCGTGGAGGTGCTGCGGTGCACGGCTGCACAGATAGGAAACCCCTTGGCTGACAGGATGTATCGCTCTGTCACTCTGCGCTACTTTTTTTTTTTTTTAGCTTTTTTTTTGTTTATTGAAAGATAGATACAAACAAACAAGGCACAGAATAGACATACAAAACCACATATTTTTGCCTTGGGTTGAGCAAGTTCAATATGAAATGCAAAACATAGGCCTACATCATGAACCTAATTATAATACAAACATAGTGCAAAATAAAATAAAAAAAACAAACAAACAAAAACAATAAAATAAAAATAAATCACAGGGGCCATCTCATATTAACTTAAATGTTTCTAGTAAAGAAGATAATTTAAGGGCTTTCTTTCCTTTAACAAGACTCAGGGACTTACTCAAGAGTTTTAACTCATTCCTCCGATGAGTCGACCACGGTTTGGTCTTAAAATATCTGCATTTGTTAGTGAAGTACTTTCCCAGTAACACCAAAGTGTTGAGGACAAAGTCCACATTCTTATTTTCGCCAAAAACACCAAATATAATTGTCTTCACTGTTAAAAGTAACTAAATTTCCTTGGACTGTAGCCAGCTCTGCATCTCGCAATGAAAGAAACTTTCAATTTCTCTTTCACAAAAAACACAATTGTTCAACTCAAAGTTAAACCTTAATCTTAAAAATTCGTTCGTTGGGTAAATTTCATTTAAAATTTTGAAGTTGACCTATTTACTTTAGGTGGAAGTGGAAATGAAATATAATTTTTTCTTATTTTATTAATCTTTTCCACTTAAAATTCCTTGAGAATATACACACTCCGTGCTACTATGTTGATCTCATACATTCATCGGACTTCCGGTTTCCCCTTTTGCATTATTTCCTTTCACGCAGGCACAGAACGTGCTACTTTGCCGTTGGATGTAGTCTTCTTTTTTTTTTTTCCATAACTTTATTTAAGACAGGAAGTTTACAGAATGCAGATCTTCAACATTACACATATATGTCATATATCACATATGTCAGGGGGGGATAAGAGTTTACAAGAAAATATTAAAATGATCACAAATATTAATGGTTTTGATTGCCTTTTGATTAAGGGAAAATTTAATGGA